CTCAATCCCCTCCGCCTGGTCTGAGTGCGTGAGGGAGGCAACCAATCAATGTGTCTCTCTCTCATCGATGTTTCTGTCTCTCTGCCCCTCCCTCTCCCCTCCCTTCCACCTTCTCTAAGAATCAGTGGAAAAATATCCTCGGGTGAAGATTAACAACCACAAAATTTTACCTTGTTTTACTTTTTAAAAAGTGGCTACTAGGAAATTTAAAAATTACATATGTGAAAAAAAATTATATATATGGCTCATGTTACATTTCTATTATACAGTGCTGCCTTAGAATAGTGTCCTTAATTGGAGATACACACTCCAATATCTTGTGTCCTGTTGTATCTAGTTTGTTTTGTTAAAAGTATAGTAGTTTTCTGGCGGGGTAGTCAGTTGGTTAGAGTGTCATCCTGATACACCAAGGTTTTGGGTTCCATTCCCGGGTTCGGGTACATATAAGAATCAACCCATGAATGCATAAATAAGTGGAACAACTAATCAATGTTCTTTCTCTCCCTACCTTCCTTTCTCTCTAAAATCAATCAATAAATTTAAAAAAATTAAAAAGTATAGTATTGACCTACAAAATCAATTGTGAATATATAAGAAAGCAATTCCAGGGCAGGTGCAGGGTAGAGGGAGTCAATGGAGGGGGGGAAGGGGAGAGGGGCCATCTGTAATACTTTCAAAAATAAAGATAAATTTAAAAAAAAGAAGTAATTCCAGATAAACTGGCCCGGGGAGAACTTACTAAACGCCAGGCACTGTGTTAAGCCAGATGAGGAAACTGAGGCGGAGAGAGAGAGGTCAGAGGCTGTGCACAAGATCCCTCCCTGCTGGTTGGTGGGCTTAGGGCTGGGACCAGGATCTGAGTGGGGTGTTCACCACTTCCTGCCTCGGCCTAGATTTTACTGCTCTGTTTGGGTTTGGTTGGGGCTTTATGGGTGATTTTTGTCTTTTAACTCAGTGTTTCCCAGATTTTCAACTACAAGGCCCCAAGAGGTGAGGCGACATGCCCTGCCCATTGGTCCTCCTGTGAGCCCCGCCTCACTCACCCACCACCATGATGTTGAACTCAAAACCCATCTTCATGGCCTTGATCTTCAGTTGGTCCAGCACGGCCTCGATGCCCACATAACCAAGCATCTCGCAGGAGGTGGGCCTTGATGAGCAGGGGGAGAGGGATCGCCTTAGGGGGTCCATCGTGCCAAGGGCACAACGATGCCTGGTATCTGGGTGAGGTGGGGAGAAGAGGTTGCTGGGGCTCCAAGGAGGAACATCTGAGTTCTCATTTTGAACCCTGACTCCTTAGTTCTGCTTCCAGATACTCCCACACATTATGCCCCTGGTCCGTCTATCCTCCAGGCGCCCATGGCCCAAGGGGTTTGGTGAGCGGTGCCCAGGGGAGCTGCCTCTGGAGGGAGACTGAACTCCCATCGGATATGCACCTTCCCAGGGATTTGTTCCTCCTGTACCCCAGCTCCCACTCCAGACCCAGCCATGCCCAGGCAGACTCTCTGCTCAGACACTACCCCAGCAAAGCCCAGCGGCCGACCTGTCGGAGACAGAGAGAGAAGCAGCCTCGTGTGGCACCTGAGGCCCTGGGCTCCTGTGGGAGCTTTAGGGGCTGCCCTGTCCTGGCAGATCCTGGTGCTTGTGGTGAGGGGGAGGGGAAAGGGTGACAGTTAACTGAAGAATCAAAGCCCCACTGCTCCCTGTGACACCACCTGGGGGCTCCTCTGCAGCAGGGAGCCGAGGGCAGGGACAGGTAAGCTGCTCCTCCAGGCCCGTTTGAGACACTACCCTGCAATCCTCACAACGACCTTGGCCTAGGACAGTGGTTCTCAGCTGTCAGAGACAGAGAGAGAAGCAGCCTCGTGTGGCACCTGAGGCCCTGGGCTCCTGTGGGAGCTTTAGGGGCTGCCCTGTCCTGGCAGATCCTGGTGTTTGTGGTGAGGGGGAGGGGAGAGGGTGACAGTTAACTGAAGAATCAAAGCCCCACTGCTCCCTGTGACACCACCTGGGGGCTCCTCTGCAGCAGGGAGCCGAGGGCAGGGACAGGTAAGCTGTTCCTCCAGGCCCGTTCGAGACACTACCCTGCAATCCTCACAACGACCTTGTCCTAGGACAGTGGTTCTCAACCTCTGGCCCTTTAAATACAGTTCCTCATGTTGTGACCCAACCATAAAATTATTTTCGTTGCTACTTCATAACTGTAATGTTGCTACTGTTATGAATCGTAATGTAAATATCTGATATGCAGGATGGTCTTAGGCGACCCCTGTGAAAGGGTCGTTCGACCGCCAAAGGGGTCGTGACCCACAGGTTGAGAACCGCTGGCCTAGGACTATAGACAGGAACCCAGGTGCCCAGGGCAGGTCCCTTGCCCAAGGTCACCTAGATGGTATGTGTGGCAGATCTGGGCTTCATTCAGCCAGTCTCTCTGGCTTCCAAGTTCATCTCCCTTAGCCACTCTGCCAGGGGATGCAAACTTATGACCTAAAGCAGAACATCCATGTACTTTCTTTGATCTCTCCATTACTGGTATCACAGTGTTTTAAATGGGCAGCATTGAAAACTCAAAGCATCAATTTAGCAAATACTTAATCACCTGGCATTGTTCTAGGGGCCATAGAAGGATAACTTATTTAATAATCATCATAGCCCATGAAACATGTGCTGTTACTATACTGTTTATAAATAACCCCATTTATACATGAGTCAAGGGGATTGTTCAAGGTCACACAACGAGGAAATGGCAGAGATGAAATCTGAGGCCACGGGCTCATCTTCTCTGGTCTCTTTTCTTATTCACACAAAGATCTAGATTTCCAATGTTATTTTAGAGATTGTAAGCCCTGGCAACTCTGGGCCCAGCCCATAGCTGATTCAAGCTGCCCTCTAGCTGGGCAATATGCTCTTCAATTTGCTACAGTCCTCAGCCTTCCCTAATGTTTCTTTAAAAAAAAATTTATTGATTTCAGAGAGGAAGGGAGAGGGATAGAAACATCAATGATGAGAGAGAATCCTTGATTGGCTGTCTCTTGCACGTCCCCTACTGGGAATTGAGCTTGCAACCTGGGCATGTGCCCTGACCGGGAATCGAACCTTGATCTCCTGGTTCATAGGTCGACGTTCAACTACTGAGCCACACCAGCCGGGCTCCCTGATGTTTCTTATACCAAATCCATCTCACTTTTTCCTCACCTATTTTCTGGCACCTGAGTTTACAAGCCCTAAGCAATCCTCAGTCTCAGATGTTGATAAATAGTTCTCAGACAGTATACAGATTTCAGGTTTTGCAGATCATAAGATCTCTGTTGCAGCTACTCTTCAGCTGTGAAAGCAGAAAGGGGAGGGCGTGACTGTGTGTCAGGAAACTATTAGGGTTGTTCTGTCCATCCACTCAGCTCTGCCCAATACACTTACTACCTGTCCCGTGCTCCAACCAGCCTTCTGTCCCTCTCTGCCCACACTCTTCTACTCCCCCACTGTCTACACATCTGACAAGAGGCTTAACCTTCATTGTCAAGGCTTGGAGGCTGGAAGTGGGGCTGGGCAGGGCCCAGGGCAGGACTGGGACAAGAGTCTGCTCTGAACGTGGTTCCGTTCCCAGCAGAAAAATCTCTCAAGTTACAACTCCACGGCTCTTGAGGGATTCAGCAAGGCTGGCCTCATCAAAGCCAATGAGAACTTTAGGTGCAGATGACCAAGGAGTGCCAGTGACCCGTGGTGTGACCTTGAGCCGGAGCACATTCTGCTTCTGGGAATGTCCCCTACGGAAATAGCCTCTCTGCAGGAAGACCATCACTTTTCTCCAGGAAAACCATCACATGTGAGTGATATGGGATTCTGAAAAATGTTGGGAAGAAAGTCTCAGCGATTGTGACCTGGAGGGTCAGAAAGCGGCAGTCATTTGCAAGACACTCTTGGCTATGGTGACTGGGAGAAGTGGAGGGGAGGCTAAAGCGGTCTGAGCAGTGTGAGGATGGCAGGTGAACCCAAATGTACACCAAGAACTAAGAACTAGAGGGAATCCCAGCCACAAAATGAGTGAGAGCAACACATGGTGTTGATGTTCTTTGTGAACGGTGACGCTGAGATGAGCTCGGCGTGCAGGATTGAGTTTAGAGAAGCAGAGGGCTATTGCTAGTCAGGCAAGTAGCAAAGCCCCCAAAGCTCTCATGGCTTTTATTTGGGGAGTACAGCAAATAACAATGGAGTACAGCAAGTGACAATGATTAACAGGCATGCTTATGAGATCATCTGAGCTAAGTTATACATTAAACTATTAATTTCCTATGTTATACAAAGACCCTTTCCACCTGCAGCAGTGCACCCTCCCTTGAACTTTTCCATGCCCTCATGGCCTATGTATCACCTCAAGGAAAGTTCTGCCTCTGAATAATAAGTCTTGCTTGCAAGACTTTGTTCTGACGTGGCCCACTTGCAGGCCCCCGCCTTTTCTTGGCAGAACGTCCTCTTCTAGTTAACTTCATTCCGCTTGACCAGCTACACATGGCCACTCAGTGCGTTTCTAGTGTACATCACTGTGCTGGAGACACTTCTGTGCCGAGTATGTCAGTCAATCCTCACAACAACCTGAAGAGAGGGGACATTGTTCTCACACACAGATGAGGAAACTGAGGCAGAGAGGGGTCAGGGACCGTGTTTCAGGTCACACACACACTGGTGGGTGTTAAAAGCTGGGACCAGGATCCGAATCTGGGGTCTGACTTGCCTGAACCCTCCTCTACCCATCATTGCTGTTTGGGTCTGGGGCCTCTTTGGTTGGTTTTGTCTTTTAACACCTTGGAGTTTCCCAGATTTTAATGAGGTGGTTTTACTTTCATAATCACAAACAAGAAACGAGGCACCCAGGGGTCTGGACTGTAAGACTGAGGGCCAGTGGGGAGGGAAGAGGACCGTGGGCCTTTTTATCACCCAGCCAGGCCAAGGGGGGGAGGGGCTGAGTTATTGGCCCCTCTCCCCACTTTTTTCCAACTGAGATAAAGTTCACATAACATGAAATTAATCATCAGCCATTTTAAAGTGAATAGATCAGTAGCATTCACTAGTAGTACATTCACAAGGTTGCAAAACCACACTCTACCTAGTTCCAAGACATGTTCATGACCCCAAAAGGAAACCCTATAACCACTAAGCACTCAGTCGCCCATCCGCCTTTCCTGGCAACCACTACTTTCTGTCTCTATGGATTTGCCTGTTCTGGACATTTCATATACATGGGATCATACAATATGTGGCCTTTTGTGACTGGCCTCTTTTACTTGGCATCATGTTTTTGAGGTTCACTCATGTTGTAGCAAGTTGGTGCTTCATTCCCTTTTATGAATAATATTCCATTGTATGGATAGACAATGTTTTATCTATTCATCACTTGATGGACACTGGGTTGTTTCCACCGTTTGACTATTGTGGGTAGTGCTGCTGTGAACAGTTGTGTACAAGCCTTTGAGCACTTGCCTCCAATTCTCTAGGAGTGGAATTGTTAGGTCATATGATAACACTGTATGTAACTTTTTGAGGAACTGCCAGACTGTTTTCCATAGTGGCTGCACCCTACTCTCTCCGTATTTTTACAAGAGAACATTCTAGTCGGTTTAAAAATATCCTCCCTCCCTTTGCAACAGGAATCTGAGATTTCAGACTAGGATGGAAGGTGTAAGACGGGGATCCCGGCAAAGAAAACCCCATAACATGATGGCCAAGGGCTCTGGGATCTGAATGCCTGAGTCCCAATTCTGGCTTCTCTGCTCACTGGTTGTGGTTGGCTTAGAATCATAGCCCCTAAAGATATTTCCATCCTAATCCCTGGAACCTGCGAATATGTCACCTTAAGTGGCAAAAGGGTTCTTTGCAGATGTGATTAAGAATTTTGCTGGGGAGATTACCCTGGGGGCCAATGTCATCACAGAGTTCCTTATAAGAGAAAAGCAGGAAGGCAGGCAGAGAAGATGTGGGTGTGAAGATGGAAGCAGAAATTAAAGTGATGTTCTGGGGCATGAACCAAAGAATATGACCTATAGAAACTGGAAAGGCAAGGAATGGTTTCTCCCTTACAGCCCCCAGAAGGAATACAGCCCTGCCAACCCATTTAGACATCAACCTCCAGAGCTGCGAGGTAATGAATTTGTGTTGTTTTAAACCACTATGTTTGTGGTAGTATGTTACAACAACAGGAAATGAATCCCTGAGATGTGTGACTTGAGAGCTGGTTGCTGAGCTTCTCAAGGCCTGTTTTCATATCTGTAATAATACCCACTGTACGACTGTAATAATACAGTGGGGATTAGCAGTAATACCCACTGTACGATTGCCATGAGGGATAAATTAGGTAATGTACATATAGCCTAACATTAGCTGATATGTTCTTCCCTACTAGATCATAAGCACTATAAGAACAAAACACCGTGTCTACCTGTTTTATAGCCAACCTCACGTGCTGAGTAGTGTCTGGCGCCTAGTGGGCCTGGAAATGTCTGTGCTCTGCAAGAAGGCAGGAGTGAGAGCTGCCTCACTGACATGGTCAGGGATGGCAGGGTTAGGGGCCCCAAGCCCCAACTTCTGGGCAAAGAGCTCTTTTGAGAGATAACCATAGGGTTATTGTGAGGAATAGAACAGAGAAAATAAGGATCTAAGACTTCTAATATGGTGCCAGGCACATCCCAGCAGACCAAGAAGGGTGGTGGAAAAGATACTTCTTCCTCTCTCCCTTTCCCTCCTTTCTTAAAAATTTTTAAAATTTAATCTTGACCTGAGGATATATTCTTGTTGATTTTTTTTTTTAAGAGAGGGAGGGAGAGAGAAACATCAGTTCACCTCTATACGTTCTGACCAGGAGTGAACCCGCAATGCTTTGGTGCAAGGGCTGATGCTCCAACCACTGAGCAACACCGACCAGGGCCAATCCACCACCTTTTGGTATATGGGACGATGCTTCAACCAACTGATCCACCCAGCCAGGGCTCCTTTCTCCTTTTCAATCTTCCTTTCTCCCTCCCTCCCTCCCTCTCTTCTTTTTCTTTGTCTTTCCTTTATTCATGGTCAGCAGCAGCTGAGTGCCCACTGTCCCAGGCTGCTTGTATGGTCTACTGAGAAAAAGTGAAAAAGCCCTGGGGTGAAGAGACTGACAGGCCTGTGACCTCTTCCTGAGACCAGCAGTACCAGCTGCTGTTGGGAAGCAGGAAGCACACTGCTGGGACACAGGCCCCACCTTCTGAGTTCTGGCAGCCCCGGGCTGGCCCTGGGGAGAGAGGGCCTGGTTGCTAAGGCCTCAGGTGGTATGGATCCGGAAGCAGGAAGTCTATGTTCCCAGGAGTTAAGGCTTCGAGAGCTTGGAGGCAGGTCAGGTCTTGATGTGGGGCTGCTGGGGGAAGTGGGAAGAGAAGGGGCTGGCCAGGTCAGGTTCAGGACCAAGGTAAGGGCAAGGAGAGGAGTGGAAGTGAAGTTGGGGCAGGAACTGGGGGCTAGAGGGACAGTGTGAAAGGGGCAGGGGCTGGACGGTGGGAGGCCTGTATGTGGCCTGGCCCCAGAGGAACCCAGAGCTCTAAAGGTTTCCCTCTGGGGGGTTGGGGCAGGTGGCATCCAGGACCCTCTAGCTGGGATGGCCAACCTGAAGGATCTGGAGACCACAGCAAAGGAAGTGCTGGGGAGACTGAAGAGCAACCAACTGTTCGAGTCCAAGTCAGACACCGCTTACTTCATTATCTTCCTCATTGTCCTGGGTATGGTCTCTGCCTCTGGCCCATCAGCCTCTCATGCCAGGCCCCAGGTGGAGGGCCATGTCTGGACACCTGTCCCACCCCCAGGCACTATATTGCTCCTGCTGCTGCTTATCTGCCTCAACTGCTGCTGCAGCCCCTGCCGCTGCTGCTGCCGCTGCTTCCGCTGCTGCTGCCACTGCTTCCTCCGCTGCTGCCCCTGCTGCCTCCGCTGCCTCCGCTGCTGCCCCTGCTGCCTCCGCTGCTGCCCCCACCACCCCTCCAGATCCCAGACAATGAGTGACAAGCAGGTGAGTCCCACTGGCCCTGGAAGGCCAGGAATTGCACTGGGATGGAGGAGAGGCTGCTGGGGCTCCTCAAGATGGGGGGTTAGCAGGGAACTGAGGCCTGAACCCCACTGGGGTCCCTCTGCTCCTCTCTGACAGGAGAACTCCATGAGACTGAGTAACTTGGCTCTGGAACCAAAATGAGGCGAGTCCCCCAGCCCCTCTGCTCACATGCCATGCTGGGCAACAGTAACAAGGCCTTGTCTGTCCAGAGCCTGAGTCTGAAGTGTGTTCCAACCTCCCACCAAGGGTGGGCAATGCAAGTACTCACTGCTCCCTCTAGGTGCCCACTTGGTCCCTCAGACTTCAGCGGCATGACTGACACCAGGAAACCTTAAGTAACTTGCTGGGGGTCATCCAGCAACTATCCATGGAGGGGGAGCTGGGCTCAAACTCGGGGCCCAAACCCCCAGGCAGACCCCTTGTCACCATTCCACTCAGCCCCTCAGCAGCCAGAGGACCCTCTCAAAGGAGGCATGAGTAGGCTAGGGGCTCAGTCACTGGGTGCTCCACTTGGCTCCTATAGCCAGGGACCCCCAGCTTGGTCCCTACTCAGACAGACAGACAGACAGACGGATATCCAGACAGAGGGGTCCAGGCAAAGTTGGATGATCTTTATTTCTTGGAGGCCCTGGTAGGATTGCTGAGTCAACAGTCAAGGGACCCCAGCTCATGGTAGGTGGCTTCTGTCTGCCCTTTCCTTTTCCTTCTCTCCCAACTCACAGCTTAGGGTCACCACCCACTCCTCACCTTCCAGCGGGAGGAGTGCAGCTGCCCCTCACCTGGGGGCAGCTCAGCAGGGGGGAAGGAGAGCCCTGGGCTGGGCTCCACCTTGAGTCCAAAGGGCAGGGCTTGGAATGTGGGCCAACTCCTGACCCCACCTTCCTGACCCACCCCCACCCAAAACAAAAAGCAAGTCAGCTTCCCTTCATTCCAGAAGTTCCAGTGTTCACTCCCATCTGTGCAAATGTGACGGGCAGGACAGGCAAGGAGGGAAGTAAATCGCCTGTAGCGCTTGGCTTGGGCCACACTCCAGGGTGTGTGTGGTAGGGGCGGGGACACCCTGGGTAGGGGCCACTCCTCAGGGGGACAGGCTCTTGGGTGCTCTGCTTAGAAAGGCCTGTAGCTCCAGTAGCTGGAGAACACCGAGATCTAGGGAGGGAGGAAGGTGGGGGGGCATGGTGAGTGGTGGTGCTGGGGGGCCTGGCCCCTGTTGCACCCTGTAACTCAGGTGAGATTTCAAGGTTATCCAAGGGCAATGTGTCAGGGAGAGGGTACTGTTGCCCAGCAGCACAATGGCCCATCAGCCTGGTGTGTGCGGCGGGTACAAAAGACCTTAAGATTTGGGGGTGCTTTGGCCCTGAGACGAGCCCCTGGAATACCCCCAAAATGAAGGGGCTATTGCCTGGCTGGCCTCATCTGTTTGAGACTGTGGCTCAGCCCAGACCCCACCACCCCTGTGCTCCCACCTTATCCTTGAGCTGCTGGCAGAGCTGCAGGGAGACGGTAAAGAAGACCAGGGCATCATTTAGCCACGGGATCACCGACTCCACTTTGTGCACATGGCTCACCTCCAGACGCTGGGAGCCCCACTCACTGTGGGCAGAGGGTCGGGTCCCTGAGTCCCGCAGCCCCTGAGGTGTAGAGGGCCCTCCAGGGCACCCCTCCCAACAGTGTACTTACAACATGGCTCCAGGGCTGTGGAGCACGGAGCCTCCAGCTGGGCGGAAGTTCTAGGCAGAAGAGCATCAGACCCAGTCTCAGGCCTTTGGGGTTGCAGGGCATGGGTCAGTGGGGGCAGAGGTCGGGGGTTGGGGGTTGGTAGGGTTCTGCTTACCTTGGTGGAATTTGGCTGCAGGGTGTGCAGCTGGTACACAGTGAGACAGAGCTTGTTGAGGTTGATGTAGACGTTGACCAGCAAGTCGGAGGGCAGGGCAGGGGTGAACATACGCTGGAGGATGGGGTGGGGGTGGGGGGAAGGCAGGCAAGTGAGATAAAGGCAGGGCAGGGAGAAGCCCCCCCAAGAACCACCTGGGGGAATCTCAGCCTTCATCATATGGACTGGGGCATCTAGCCTCTTCCCAGGTGCCTTGGGTAACTTCCTGCTCTGCTGGTTTGGGAACCACTGATTCAACAGGGTGATGTATTTGGGGGGACACAGGAGGGAAGCTGAGGACCCTATCTCAGAAAACTGCAGAGACATAGACATAGAACTCCTACTGATGACAGTTTGGAGCTTCTGACCCCTTGGCACCCCTGTGTCCCTTTCCAGGAACCCGCTGTCCTGGCCCGAGGCACTGACCGTGAGGCCACTGGCGGCAATCTCAGGCAGAGTGAGGGTGGCCGGGGTGGTCAGCCGGTTGCGAGCTCTGGTCAGTTGCAGCATCACGGCATCCATCAGCTGGAGGGAAGGGGTTAGTCACAGCTGCTGTAAGGGCTAATCCCATCCCCCCCACCCCAGCATCAGGGAACGACAAAGTTATGGTGGCTCCAGCTCCTGCCCTGGTGGTCCTGGTTTCAGGGCCCAAACCCCCCTAAAGTGGGGGCTTGTTAAAAATGCAGGTAATTGGGGCCTGGGGGGCGTAGGGGGAGGAGGGTAGGATGCCTGTACTATGTACCACCCATCCAGGAGGTTCTACTGAATGGGATCCTGTGGACTGGTCCAATGGGGAATGAGATGCCAGGAGTTAGTCTCAGGGGCATGAGGGCTTGGTGGATGGGGGTACAGGCAATGAAGGAGCTTACAAGGGGCCCAAATCTGGCTAGGGTGCAAGGGGCAAGGGAGGGCTTCCTGGAAGAAGCAATGGGGCAGTTGAGTTGATGCCTTAAGTCAGACATCAACCCCCATTTCACAGGTGAAGAAACAGAGGCTCTGAAGAGATAAAGTCACATAGCTTGTGAACTGTGGAACCATCTAGAACTAATTCCTTTCCTTTACCACAGAGCAGTGCCCTTACTTGGACTCCTCACAGCCCCAGCTTCCACTGTTTCCAGCTGTTGCTGTAGATGCTAGGCTGACCTGGCTCCCAGGAAAGGCAAAACTACTGGGAGGAGGCATGGGGCTGCAGCTTATATCCCCCCTCCCCGGGGCAGTCACAGTTCTGGGAGGGACCTTAGTCCATCTAGTTCCAAGTTTCATATGAAGAATCAGAGGTCCAGAGAGGGAAGGTGAACCACCTGGGGACTGGTCCAGGGCATCCAGACTCAGTTCTCCCCTCCATGCTTTGTGAATTGACTTTGTTCATTGCCAGGGTTTTTTCTTATTGCTGGTACTACTACTAGCAGCTACTATTTACTGAGCACTTACTAGGGGCCACTTTACCTCCATTATAACAATTGGTAGTCACTATATCTTATCCCCCTTTTGCAGGGGAGGATATGGAGGCACAGAGTGGCTAATTAAGTGACTTGAAGTTGTACAGCTAATAGTGGAGGCCCTAGGAGCAGAACCCAGGTCCGATTCTGAAGCTTGGGCTATGAGCTATTTGACTATGACTGGATGGACATGTGTACACTGAGAGGTGAAGGGTTAGCTGTCAGCTATACTTGAGGACATGGGGGCAGAGTTCTCCAGGAACCTGGTCAGGGGTCAGGGTGGGTGTGGGAAACCTGGCTCCCCTGTCCCTGCAGGCAACTCACCTTAAGGACCTCTGCTCCTGTCCTGAACTGGTAGCTCTCATCCCGGTTGTTGAGGAGGTAAATGGCTTGGCTTACGTGGTTCCTGGCATCCTGGATCTGAAAACAGTGCCCACGGTGTGGTTAGTGGGCTGGCCCCAGCCAATGAGCCCCCACTCCGAGGGGCTGTCATCCTTGGAGGGGTAGGTGGGTGCTGCTTGCCTGACTCCTCCCCCACAGCTGTTGGCTTCCTGCCCTGGCTGGGTGCATGCACATGGCACAGACTGAGGCAGGCTTGGTCCCTGGCCTCATGTAGCTCACTTTCTAAAGGAGGACAGATGGTAACAGAGTAAAGGCACAAGAAGCAGACTGCGTGACTCACACAAGGAAATAAACAGGGTGATGGAGGGAGTTAGGGGAGCCTCTTTAGATGGGGATCTGAGGAGGCCCCAGGGAGGTGATTCTTGAGCTGACACACATCACTCTTGTGATAAAAGCTTGTGGAGAGACTCCAGGTAGAGGGACAAGCAAGAGCAAAGGCCCAAAGATGGAGACTGCTGGTGGCCAGTTGTGTGGGGGAGCAGAAGTTGAGGCCCAGTCACATAGGTGTGGATAGGGAACATGGACGTTGTCCATGGAGCTATGGAGCAACCAAAGAATATATATGCATAGTCCATGGACACAGACAATAATGTGGTGAAGCCCTAGGGGAGGGACATTCATAATAGAGGAAAAAAGAAAAAAGAGAGCCTGACTCAGGTGGCTCAATGGTTGAGCTTCTATGAACCAGGAGGTCATGGTTCGATTTCTGGTTGGGGCACAAGCCAGGGCTGTGGGCTTGATCCCCAGTAGGGGGCGTGCAGGAGGCAGCCTATCAATGATTCTCTCTCATCATTGATGTTTCTGTCTCTCTCCCCATCTCTCTTCCTCTCGGAAATCAATAAAAAAATTTTTAAAAAAGAAGAGAGCCATGGGAATCCCCTGGAAACTTTGGGCAGGGAATGACTTGTTCAAGGGGGAGCCCTGTGGCTCTGGCTGAGGCCTGGGGACATACGGACAGGTTCTCCACCTCCCACAAGGCTAGGTTCTGGAGCCCAGGCTCCTCCCACCCCAGCTTCCCTGCTAGGAAACACCCTATCAGGCTTGCTGTGGCAGAAAATCCCCAGTGTCCTGCCCCTGGAGGCCTTAGCACCACTGTGCAGGCCTGCCCCTGCCTGTCCTGTGGCCTGAGCCCTGGCTGGGGGAGGGCCTGGTTACCTGCTGCAGCTTCCACTGCTTGTCCTCCCGGAAGGCAAAATGCAGCAGCTGGTTGTTCCGGGGCATCTTCAGGTTCACATCCTGATGGGTGAGAGTGGGGTAAGCTGGGCAGAAGGGATGTCCTTCTGCTTTTGGCCACTCTGAGCCTTTGAGCCAAGGGTGGAAACAGTGGTGGTTCAGGCCTCAGCCTCTCCTAGGCAGGGGAGGGGGGAGGACTCCCAATACCATGGCCATTTGCGGGGGTGAACATGCGGTCAGAAAACAGGAACTCATGCCCAAGAGGAACCACAAAGATATGAAAGGGAAAAGAAGCCAAGAAAGGGGAAGGTGGCTTCAGGTGGGAGGAGGCATGTGATGGTGGGCAGACGGGGAACATCTGCACAGGCTCATGGACTGAATACCCACTCATGAAGGACGAGGACCTTCTCCCATACCTTGGCACCTGGCACAGGGCCGGGTGCAGATGGAGCTCATGCTGGTGATTCCACTTTGATCTGGGGCCAGCCTAATCCTGCCAATGCCCATGTTTCACCGGGCCCAGACTCTGGGCTGGGCCATGTGCAGAGCATCCCTCTCCTGTGCTCAATGAAACCTCTCACTAATCTCTTGAGGATGCTGGGGGTTGTTGTCATTTACAGATGAAGAAACTGAGGCCCAGGATGGTCAAGGATTCTGCCTTGCGTCACACAGCCAGCCAGTGGCAGAGCTGAGATGAGCAGGAGGCCCCCATGCTCTTCCCCACTGGCTTCTCCACAGAAAGGGAGAGGGACCAGGGACTCACCGCCTGGCTCAGCGCGTCCCCTTGCAGAGTCAGCACGCCCTTCACCTGGTCTGTGCTGCAACACATGGGGGTCAGAGCAGAACCTGCAGCCTATCCCTCCCACCCCCAGGCCTTCCCATTGGGCCCTTGTGGCTCTCACAGGATGTTCCAACCCAGGTGTTCTCACCCCCCTAAGGAGCCCATCCCAGGGGTTTCCACCAAGCCAGGGCTTACCCACTGCTGCCCAGAATGAAGTTCTCTTGCCTGGCAGGCCCCTCCATGCCTGAGCCTGGCAGAGTGAAGCGGAGAGAGGCCTCCTGGGGGGCAAAGGGGAGTGGGGCAAAGTTCACCCAAGCCAGCCCAGAAGTCCCACTCCCAGGTGGGCGAGGGGAGGAACAAGATGGGTTGGCCTCACAGGAACGTCCTACCCAAGCCCCCAGGGCACCTTCCCACGGCTCTGGCTCCTGCCCCAGGGCCCGAGTTTCAGGTTCTACCTAAGCCAATACCCGCTCCTTCCACGTTCCCTGGGCGCCTGTGCCCAACATGGGGATATAAAACAGGAATACTCTCCCAGCTTGGTTAAGGTGCTCGGGTGCTCGGAACAGGGTCAGGGAACCCCGGTAGTCATGGCAACCCGCAATTCTGACCATACCAGGCAATGCCTGAACATTTGTGAGTTGACCGGCTTATCTTCAGGTCAACCTTGAGGCAGGTACTGTTATTTCCTTTTTGCAAATGACAGGGAGGCCCAGGGAGATTGAGTATTTATTTAGCTAGTGTCACAATGTTGGGGTCCTTGATCTCAGATTAAATGTCACCGCTTCAAAGAAGGCCTACCCCGTCCGGACCCCGAGGCTCTCCCAGACCCACAGCACTCACACAGCTGCTGGTGGAACAGGGTGATTATCTGCTGGCGCCCCCGACTAGGCTCCCAAGTCCACCGACGACAAAGCCCCGTCAGAACACTGCGCTCCGCGTACCCCGTAGGCGCTAGGGAGGCAGGCGCGGCCGGCCAGGGAGGAGCCGCACTAGGGAAGGCTGCGGAGGATGGACGCGCGCAAAGGCCCACGGCCGCCCGCGAGACCTTACCTTTAGGATGTCCTGTAGCTGCCTCAGCACGGCGTGCACTTCGTCGTGCAGCAGCCAGCGGAATTCCTCCTCCTGGCG